TCTACAGGAATAAAAGTGTCAGTGCCTATGGATCTATGGATAAAGATATTTGCTCTGCCCTTGTTTAGAGGCGGAAATGGCTGGAAACCCCCTGAATGTTCAGGAATAGGAGAATAATCAGATAAATTATGGCACAGGTGTTCTATGAAACATTATACAACTAATAAAAGAATGCGTTAGATTTAGATATATAGGCCTAGAGGTATATTTGCGATAAATTGGTAAGTGAAAAAAGCAGATTGCAAAATAATATATGTGACAATCCTATTTTCATAAAAAGTAAACAAAAAAAAAAAACCCACCCTTAGAAATATGTGTTTAAGTTGTATTATTTGGTCTGAGCATGGAGGAAGGACAATAGGGATCTACAGCAATTTGGTGACTTTGGTCACCTCCGTAGGGTAGAGAGAAAAGTACTCTCTTTCTCTCTGTAAACTATTGTTAGACCTACTCTCGCCAGCATTCTGGTACCTTCGTCATTTACAATAAAATAAATCCAATAAAGCTTAGGTGCTGTTTTCCTTTGTGCCAGGACAGACAAGTGACTATAATTGTTATAATTTATTGATCATTGCCTATGGGGCCATGCACTGTGCTAAGAACTTTCTCTGTGTGATCACCCTGGGAGGTCAACGCACAAGAAGAAATGGAGGTCACGGGGGTTAAATGACCTGCTCAAGGCTGCACAGCTAGCGCACGACAGAGCAGGGATTGGAACCCAGGTGTGTCTTACTCTGCAGTGACATTCTTAACTCCTGCAAAATGCTCCCACCCTGCAGCTGTGGCGGCTTCCTGCGGTCTTTCTAATAGATGGTTCCTCCTCTGGTCATATTTTTGCTTCCATTTTCTCTCTGCCATTGCGTTGGGTAACCCTGAAAGGGAACTAGCCTGTCATTCTCAGAATAAGACCTGAGACCTGTGCAGAGTGGGACATCTGTTTCCTGCCCGGGGCTGCAGGCAATGTCACAAACGGGGGAAACTAAGTCCTGAGACTGCTTCTGATGGGCTCCCCACCTACGGAACCCCGCTCAGAAGTCAGCGTGCCTGGTGCCTTGATGCTGTCTCATTGTCGGTTGATAGGTTTTGTTTTGTTTTGCTTTGTTTTCATCTTATCTCGGGCTCACCATCAACTCTCACTGCTTTCTCTCTTGAGTAAGAACTCCACGGGATCTTTTATCAGTCATCTCAACGGTGCGGGAGAGTCAAAGAGCCTCCTTGCTAGAAGCTACCTGAAGGATCACCAGGGTTGCCCTTTTCACACATGAGGAAACTGAGGCCCGGAGAGGCAGAGTGGCTTGTCTAAGACAACAGGGCTGCTCAGACGTGCCTCTGAGACTAGAACCCGGCTCCCCTGGGTACTCACTCTGTACTTGTGTTACCCGGGGCAATCACACACTGCACTTCAGACCTTTTCTCTTCCGCTCTGGGGCCTTGGCTTTGACGGCCAAGGAAATCTCAGATGAGGTTGTATTTTTTTTTTCTCTTTTGTCTTGTATTGTTTATTTGCTTTTTAATTTACTTTTCTTGGGGCCATTTGGCGATTCTGTTTTCAATTTTATTGAGTGATTGGTGTTGTTTATAACTTACTGCACTGAATTGGTAATATACACATTTAGTTAAAAGAAAGAAAGGAAATATAATCAGTGGAGTGAAAAGGAATTCCTTTCCCCACCCTGACACCTCTTCCCTAGAGACAACTGATGCTACTATTGTCTTATGGAATCTTCCAGGGGTCTCTCTCAGTTAATAATCTATCTTTGAGATTATTCTCTATCAGTACACAGAGTGTTAGTCACTATTTTTAACGACCGCATGGGATTACATTCTATTGCTAACTACCCCCCTAATGATGGACGTGTAGATTGCTTCCAGTTTTTGCCCTGCAAACTGTGCTATAGTTCATGGCCTTGCACTACCGGCCTTTAAACATCTGTACGAGTATCTCAGTAGGATGAACTAGAATTTCTGGGTCAAAGGGTATGTGCATTATACATTTTGATATTCTCCAAATTGACACCCAAGCTGTGGTGGTAATTTATATTCCCAGTGACAGGTGTAAGAGCCCGGCTACCTTCCACATTCACCTAAGCTCTTAAAATACCGTCAACATCTTCTATGTTTTTAATTTCTGTTTTTCTTGTGATGAGTCTTCCAACCTGCTTGGTTATATTTTATTATATATTTTATTTATATTTTATTGTTATATTACTATAACACATGGCCCTAGACCAGGCGGCTTAGACAACAGACATTTCTCACAGCTCTGGAAGCTGAGAAGTCCAAGATCAAGGTGTGGCAATTTGGTTCCTGGTAAGAGACCTCTTCCTCATTACGTCTTCACATGACAGAGATAGATACAGAAAGAGAGAGGGCATAATCTCTCTCATGTCTCTTTTCATAAGGGCACTAACCCCAACATGAGGGCTTCACCCGCATCGCCTAATTACCTGTCAAAGGCTCTGTCTTCCAAATACCATCGCATGGGGGGGGGGGGGGTTAGGGTTTCAACATGTGAATTTTAGTGGCATATAAACATTCAGTCCATAGCAGCAATGCTCATAGTCTGAGCATCTTTTTACATATTTAAAAGCCATATGTCTTTCCTATTCTCTAAACTCTGCACGTGCTTTGCTTATTTTTCTATTAGGTTGCTCTGGGAGACTTTTTAGAGTTAAGGCTACACTTGCTGAAGAATGAGAATTTGGTGACCAGGTGTGTGGGATGAAGGCCTCCCAAGAGGGAAATGCACCCGGATGTGATGGACCATCTCACTATCTGACTGCTCAGGCCCAAGTCACACCCTGCATGTTGATCAAGTGCTTTGGCTTTCTTCTTCTTTTTTTTTTTTCTGAACACTTTCATCAAGAGTCATCTTAATAGAAATGTACAACATTGGCCTGAGGTCAGTGGGTCAGAAATTAGGATCTCTTTTTGACTGATTAGGAAATGAGGTTCAGAGAGTTAAACTATGTTGGTCAAGGTAATACAACCAGGGGTGCCAAAGCCAACGGCAGGCATCTGCTCACGGAGCCTTCTAGATTCAGGCTTGGGCTCTGGAGCCAGACAGACTAGGGTTCGATTGGCTGGCTAACTGGAGATCTTGGAGATGTCACTGCACTTCTGAGCCTTGGCTTATTACAGTATAAGGATAACAGTATCTTCTTTATGTGGTTGTTCTGAGGATGATAGGAAATAATGCATGCACATTTGTTACAACATAGTGTCAGTGGGTCAAAACGTAGTGTCCGCCATGGTAATAATACACATTATAAGATGCTGCTCATAGTTTCCACTTTCGCATTACTTGTGGTCGTTCCAAAGCTCAATTCTCTGGTGTAAGACTTTTGTTCTTTTATCACATGCCATCTTTGCCCTGTTTTCTGCTTTTCTTCCGCTTTCGTCCAGATCACCTGAAACAGCTGGTTCTTCCACGTTTGGGAGCTTTGAGTGAAGAAGTTGCTCTCCGCAGCTTTGCAGGGAGCAAAAGCCTTGAGGGCTGGGAGAGGGCCTCCTCCTCAGACTGGCACTCCTCTGGACCATATGCTCTCAGGAAATGTTCCTTATTGAATGAATGAGGGAGGGTCTGCCCCCAACGCAGCCCTAGTACAGGGCGGGCAGTTGCATTCCTGCGCATGGCAGGAGGTCAGGAAACATTTACGCAATGAATGAATGAATACACACAGTGCCTAGGAGTAAGGGCTCCAGAGGCATTTCTGTATTCGTTGCACGGCGCCTGGTACACCGAAAGCGCAAAGTGGCGGTCTGGATATCCCCGGCTGAGGCTTATTAAAACCCGGTGCAAGAGCTCGGCTTCCCTGAGCAGGGGTGCAGGGGTTCGAAATCAGCCGCCGCATCTTCCCAGCTGGGCGACCTCGGGCAAGTGACTTGATCTCTTTGTGCTCCAGTTTTCTCCTATGCACAAGGCGGACGACGGAGTGCGACCCGCCGAGGCACTCCCCGGGAGCCCTGGGACCTGCAGCAGGGCCCACCGCCGAGTGCCCGGCCACGCCAGCCAGCCGGCCGGCGCAGCCGGGGGCACGCGCCAGGGGGCCCCGAGCCCTCCGCCGCGGCCGCCTCTGGCGTTCTCGGCGCCCGAGGTCGCGTCCGGTCGCGATCTGCGCCCCCCGAGGGGGCGGGGCACGGCGACCACGCGGGGCAGCCCTCGGCAGCCTCCGGCCGGCCGGCCGCCGCCCGCCGGGGAGCCACGCCGCCCGCACTTCTTTCTCTCCCTCTCGCTCTCCCTCCCTCTCCCGGCCGGAGGAGCCAGCCGCGCTCAGCTCAGCAGCGCCGCCCGCGAGCCGCCGCCGCCGCCGCCACTTCGGGCCCCTCCCCCGTCCGCCTCCCGCCCCCCCCCGGCGCGGCCGGCGCCCGTCACGTGACGCGCCGCCAGCCAATGGCGGGCCGAGCCGCGGTCGGCGGCCGCCATTGCTGTCAGAGCGAGCGAGCCCGGGGAGGGAGGAGAAGCGAGGCTGACTGGGGAGGAGGGGGGGGTGGGGGAGGAAGAGGAAGGAGGGGACGTCGCTCGGCTGCCGGGGTCGCCCGCTGGCTTCGTCCGCACCCCCCCCTTCGCGAGTTCGCGCTCCGCGGCGGCGGCGGCTCCGAGGCGGCGGCGGCAGCTCCGGGGCTCGCCTCCCCTCACGCGCCGGCGGGGGCCGAGGGGGAGTAGGTGGCTGGAGATAAACAAGGCGGCGGCGGCGGCGGCGGCGGCGGCGGCGGCGGCGGCTGAGGAACAGGGAAGGCGGAGGCGGCGGCCGGCCCGCAGCGCCGGCCAGGGAGGCAGCGGCGGCCCTGAGAGGCGGGGAGGGCGCCGGGCCGCGCGGACAGCGCCCCCCGCCGCCGCCGAAGCCGCGGGAGCCGCCGCCGCCGCCGCCCGAACAGGAAGGAGCCGCGCGGCCGCCGCGGACCCCCCCGCCGGCCCGGGCCCGCCGCCCCCGGCGCGGCGTCGCCGCGGCGCCTCCCGCCCGCCCGCCGGCCCTCGCGCCCTCCCCCGGCGGCGGCGGCGGCCCGGCCGCCCCGCGCTCCCCGGCGAGGCGCCGCCGCCCGGCCCGGCCTCGCCTCGGACGCCTCGCTCCGACATGCCCCGCTCTGGCGGCCGGGCTCGCGGAGGATCATGACTGCGGCAGCGAACTGGGTGGCGAACGGGGCGAGCCTGGAGGATTGTCACTCCAACCTCTTCTCGCTGGTGAGTAGCCGGGCTGCGGGGAGGGGGGGGGCGAGCTGGGGGGGGTCCCCGACCTCCGCCGCCGACCAACTTTCTCCTCCCGCCGCCGGGACTTCGCCCCTCCCTCGTCTCTCCCCGCCGTTCGCCTCTCGCCGATTCTCCCCCTTTTGGATCGTCTCTCCCTCGCCTTGGATCCCATCCAGTGTTTATTTGGCTCTTTAAAAATCATTTGTGAGCGCGGCGCTCGGCGTGGAATTTGCATGTGGAAGTCTCAAAGCTGCGGATTCTGGGTCGCACTTCGAACGCCCACCCTCTGTTGCAATCACACCCCCCTTCCCCTCCCCTTTTCCCCCGTTTTTCCCCCCCTAAATGTGGAAGGCTTTGCCTTGTGCTGCCCGCGCCCGCGATAAGCAGCCTTTCCCCCTCCTGTCGGATCGGCTGCCCGCCCGCCCGCCTTTTGAATTCTTTTTTTTTTTAATTCCATAATGACACCTGCAATTTTGCCCGAAAACAGTTGATTGAATGCGATTGTGTCAGTAAAGGACTCTTGCACCCGGAGCTCCCGCGATTGTAAACATCGACAGCCGCCCGCCTCTCGGGGCTTACTACGCCGGAGAGCCGTAAAGCCATTGCACCGAGCCGACGGAAGGTGGAGGAGGCTTTTTCTTCTTTCTCTCCCCCTGTGTCTTTTAAAAACTGTTTTCTCTCTCCTAACAACGAATCCACACACACACACAAAAGCAACAAGCTGGGCGGTTTGATAACATCGCTTTTATCTGCCTTCGCCGCTCTCGCGCGCTCTCTCTCTGATAATTGACAACTTTTCCTTCGGATTTGAAATCGCCTGCCTTAATCTTGAAGCAGTTAGGGTGTCAATTGTTCTCCTGGAAGCCTGGCATCCGACGACGACGTCTAGATTCATCGAAATTAAAAATGTATAGGGCTCCAGCAACTCTCTTCCTGGCGGTGGCAGTGACATTTGGTGGTAAATGCCATCTTTGCTTTTTTATTGGGTCGTATTACCTAGCTCTGAAAACATTCACCTTGTTAAACCTGGCGTTTAGGCTAATAATTGCAGTGCGTGGTCTTTAAATCTGTGCTTTGTGCATGAGTTACTGAATGTATAGCTATGTGCCCGGGAGACCACGAATTTGTTTAAATATTGAGCAAAGATTTGTAAACAGATGTAAGGCAATTATGTTTCAAGCGTAGAATATAATTGGAAAATTGGCTGAACGGTTTAATTTAGCCTTAAAAAAAAACACCCCAACTTATTTTAAGTTGTGCACCTTTTTTAGGGGGACGGCCTTTGGAGAGCGTGCATTTTGGAAATTGTTTTCTGTAACCTCTGCAGTAGATAGAAGCATTATTTCCTGTTAATCCGTGTTTACAATTACACTGGATAAATAATTTAGTGTTCAAATTGTAATTAGTTACATTTAATTATGGGTGGCATAGATGGTTTTTTTTATTATCTTGGAGACGAGTGGGGAAATACAAATTCTTGCCAACTTTTCAAATGGAAGTGTTATTTTGTTAAATATTTCCTTATGCAGCTAAAAAAATATCAAACCACTTGATTTTTACTTACAAAGAGTGACATGATATCTGTGCTTTCGTTATAGTATAGTCCAGGTCACTTTTTTTCTATCAACATCCTTATTGAGGTATTTAGTCTTAAAATTGAATTATAAGTTGCCATTCTTCCTCTTTGTGCTATGATAATTTTCCCTTGATCTTTTGACATATGGGAATAGAATTCATTTTGCCTCCTCTTTTCTCTCCCCCAGTATATCATTTAGTATCAGTCAGATACAGAGACTTTAATAGATTAGCAAACATATTGATTAAGGGATATTTAAAATGGGTTTTGTTTGGTGGCTGGATACCACATTGACCCTTTAACAGGTAATTAAAATAACCAAGCAGACCAATACTAGTGAGGAGAGATCCCCGAAATTACCATGTATCATTCTGACCGGTAAGGGCTCATGTATATATGGCTAATTTATATACAGTAGATTTTGTAGACCACTGAGACTGTATTATATGTGTAGCCAGCCTTTAGGATATATTGTCTTTTACCTTTTTTTCTTTCTCTCTAAAAGCTTAAGTACAGATGATAATGTTAAAGAGATAAGATGCTTGAGATTCTTTTGGAGAAACAAACAGTTTTATAAGAGGATTTTGTGTTTTATCACTGACTAAAGGTTTGTGCTTTGGGTATTTCTCTCTTGAACCTTTTAAAACCAGGAATAATAGAGTTTTTGGGGAAAAATACACACACCTACACACACATGCAGAATTACTCATTAGGTGGGAACTTTGATATGCAGAACTGAAGAAATGCATGGGTTGGCCCTTTTTTTTTTTTTTTTAAGACTAGAATGTTTACATTCTCCTGTATGTGGAGGGTGCATAAGGTGCTATTTTTTTTTAAAATTTAGAATCAGTTAAAAAGCTGCTGACTATAAATTTTTGCACATTCCAAATGAAGAGTTTTCCTTGAAAATCAGATGTAGTGGCAACCCAGTGTATTAAAAATATATTGTCTAAAGTACATTATATAGAATAGTTAATTCCAAAGGAGATAAAATTATCTCTTGTTTAAAACAAAGCATGTATTACAAGAACTCTTATGTGCTGAATAATAGCATGTTTTTTTTTTTCTTTTTGGTCTGCAGTTTTTTGAGCAAAGTATTGTTTATAGAGAATTTACCTAGATACTCCTAGTAATGTGGATTGAAATATAAACTAGAGATTAAAGTTCTGCACCACACTAATGATCCACCCACTTTCTATTACCTTGAAGTATTCATTATGGCTTAGCAAAAGTTGATTGTGCAATCAACTGCCTTAAGATTTTTGTTCTTGTTTTGCTTTCTGATTTTCTACTGTACGGCATCAAATTTCCCAAATTTTTTGTCACCCACCCCCATTTCCTAACACGTGGAAAATGCCATTGTGTTTATATGATATGGGTCATTGTGTGTGTTTCTTATTCTTACCATTGTGAGATTTGTAACTGCTGCATTAAATGCATGCCTTGCTGTTACCTTTGTGACTCAAAACTGTTTTCTCATGCTGTCCATCACATTTCTGGGAGACTCTTGTTACATATTCACTCAGCGTTAATTCAGTTAAGTGTGTTAAATCTGCCTGTTTGGAAAGTGTAACGGTGCACCCTGTGGTGTGTCAACTCACTTTTGAGGGAAGATGTAATTCCCAGATACAAATATATCTTTAGGTTTGGTTCTCTATTGAGATCATATGGAAAGTGATTTTGCATTCTGTAACTAGACTGATGTATGTACTCTTTGAGTTACAGCGATTTAACTCTAAGGTTTGTGTTCCACATTCACGTTGTTTTGTTTGCTTAGCGTCTTCCTGACTAGGGGGTAATTAGGTGATGATATCAAATTCTCTCTCCCTGAATTGAAACACACACACATCAGTATATGATTCCTGTGTAGGACCATTACTTCTGTATTTGAAGCTTTAAAGTAATCTGTTGTTGCCCTTTCTTTTCTCTTAAGAGATTTATTTATTTATTTTTTTGCAGAGGGAAGATAGTTGTAAGTATAGAAACTTTGGGATCTCTTTTGCTAGAACCAAATGGGGATGACTGTAACTAGAAAATGAGGAAAAGGGAATGATTTCTCTCATCTTCTCAAGTGCCAAAATATATATACACAGTGTATTTTTTCATTGCAGTTGCCAATTTTAGCATTTAAACTTAGAGCATCTTTTTTCCATGATGGCTTATTTTCTTTAATGAAAATATTTATAATTTGCTAATGTATGTTTTCAGTTTAGCATTTTGTTGTTAGTAGCACATGGTGTTAACAGTATTTATATATTTTTAATAGCAATAATTGCCACCCGGTAATAGTTGCCATATTAACCTCCAATTGCTAGTAAATATTTTTAAGTACATAATAGACAGCAATTTAAGGCATAGTGTAGCAGTTTACTGGACCGTTTTAAAGAGCCATTTGTACGTGTGATGAGTTCATAATTTTAAAGAGAAAATGTACCTAAGACTTGCATGCTACAAAGTAATGTTGCTGTGTTACTGCTTGAAGTGCTCATAGAGAGGAAGTTAGGTTGGGACTCTTTCTTCTCCTTTGTGAGAATAGAGGCCTGAGGGTGCCTTTAGGACTATAAGCCTTTATTGAGTTTATCCCAGGTGCTTAGATAGCTTAGCATTCTTTGGAATGCTTTGGCCATTTTTTTCATACTTGCATTAAGGATTTATTTGGGAAAAAAATCTCAAGGCATTCCTTTAAATAACATTAAGTTATAGTAGTGGATTATATTAATTAGGTATGGAAAAATGGATTCATCTCTTTTGTTCACTGGCTAATTTAGCCTCGTTAGTTGTGAGTTAATTGTATTCATCAAACACTTTCAGAGATCTCCTCTACTCTTGAGATTAATAAAGAAAATGCTCTGTCACCAGTTTGTGCTATATGCTAGAAATTAAGAAAACCATTTGCACAAGATAAGTACATTCTGTAGTTATGTTTGTCAGATTATTTAAAATTGAGATGAAACTCAATGTAAATAGTAAAAATTGCTTATCTGTACTTTTTATGAACAGTTAATACAGTTGTCTCTCAAAGTTTGATTCAGAGATAGACTAGATATTTTTCTGAAATGACTTATTTTTTGATAGAAGAAAGTAATAATGCTCCCCCCTTCAGTAGTAGATGGTACTGATATGTGTGTTTTTTTCCTTAAAGTGGGTACTATGTTTATTTCACAGAAGCTAGCCAGTGAGAGATGACACAAAGTTTAGGAAAATTAATAATATGATTGACTATTGGGTATTATTACTGAAATGTGCATTGCAGCTACTTATTAAAAATTGAGAGAGTTTCTGCAACATTGTTGTCTGTCGTTTGTTTAAAATGTATCATGTGCTAATCTGCTTTAAAACCTGTGGGCTGTGTAGTGTTGACCACCAGAATTTCTATTTTGTTATTTTATAAGCATTCCTATTTTGAGAAGTAACATTT